CAGAGCGAGATTTTAGCGTAGTTCGTCTGTTGTTAGGCGAAAATCGCGCAAGGTTGAATCCAGACACGCTTGACAGCATTTTCATCTTGCGGAAAACCTTCGAGTACGATGGCAACTAGATTGTGTGAAACTCATGAAAGTTCAATTTCTTGTTCGTTAAGATGAATCATCATAAAATAAGTCGTCGAAAACTTCGCCAGAAGTCAATACTTTCGCTCCTGATCTCCGAAGAAACGCACAGACAAGGGGGACCATCAAGGAGTTGAGGAAAACATGGAAAATCATAAAGAGGAGAACCGCGGTTCCTTGCGGTTTTTAACCGCGGTTCCGTCCGAGCGGTTCCGAAAAAACCGCGAACCGCGGTCCCGAGAAAACGCGGTTTTTTGACATGCCTATGCATGGGTCGACGAGGGTAGACCGGCATTCGGGCGAACGAATGACAATGGATCAAGACGACCTGATCCGTCCACAGATCGACTGGAATGCCTGGTTGTTCACACCGGGGATGCCTCCCTTGATACCTGACTACAAAAGCTCCCTGGCAGAACTATCCTCGAAGCTGTGTGAGAAATGGGTCCACGCCGATGAGAAGGAGATCAAGAATTTCGAAAAATCCGAATTCGATCAACTGAACGCCATGCAGAAAGAGGAGTTCTTCGCCTTGCTGTTGGAGTCAGAGATCCTTAGCAAAGAGAAGGTAAGCTGAAAGTTCGTGAGATGGACTCCAGTTCCGTACGTTGAGGTCTACTCCGTCCGCACGATACTGCATCAACGCATTTCCCAGGTGGCGCATCTGACAGCCCTCTATGAGATCGAGAGCATCATCAACGCTGAAATTCGCTTCCGATGGTTACGACTCGGAATCCTGTCTCGGTGGGAGGGAATCTTGAAGCCCGCGACCGCCTTCGTCGAGGTAGTCGGACGCATGAAGTTCGCGAAGCCAATTTTCAAAGATTTGGGACAATGGCCGGAGAAAAGACAATACGCACTAGATTTGTACGAACGTCTCGCACCGAACATGATGTACGTTTTGAGTCGGGCCGTCAAGGACGCTCTAGAAATCCGGGAGTGAGAAGCGCGCGCGGATGGCCTCCCTCCCCCCATGCGGTGAGGCAGCCGAGGATGCTGATGATTACTGACGAGGAATAAACTTCAATTCATTCATGAGTTATGATTACCATAAACTTCGAATTCTCCCTTTCGTCTTTACATCGGACTTGATCGGTCTTGTCACGTCGGACCCGTCGCGAGAGGAATAGTGTCAGGCACGACTGCTGCTCAAAGAGGAGGACGAATTCTTTCGAATGGAAACTGGACCTCGGTGCTTCCCTTTGGAGAGAATAGTCCTCCGAGAGTTAGTGCACCGGTCCATCATACATGGGAACGAGGAAGTTTCTTGTTAGTATGGTTTGCCAATCGCATTCTTCGCGTGCTGCCCCAATCGGAGAGAGCACGAGGTGATTCCGCTGATTGAGTTGGGTCCGTATCCAATCAACTGAGTGTGGGAGCAAAGGTAGAAGATGAGAGAGCCTTTTCAAGAGGAAGATAGAGCTTCTCACGGTAGTTCTGGATAAGATTCCGCGGCGGCTACACAACTTGACAGAAGCAGCGAATCTTAGATTAGGCAAGTTATTCCGGAGGCGTATCAGGAGGAGTCGACTTTTGTTATCTCGACTTCTTTCTGTGCTTGTTCTCGGGGTCAGGCACGCGGCTTTTCGGGATCAAGGTCCTGAATCGACTGATCGGCATTCGGGTAAAGGCAGCGAACCGCACATCACATGCAGATTCGCGTCGACCGCATCTGTCCTAGACGGCATCCGGAGAGTCACTGCTCAGAGTCCGGCGGCTGTACATGGCTCCGATTTCCGTCAGACAGCAGCTTTTCCGGAGCAAGACCCTCCAAACTCCGGGTTCCGACCCCTGCGTCCGTCACCTCACTCTGAAGGAAATCGGAGTTTCGCGGAGGAGAACTATTCTCGAACACTGAATATTGTCGAGAGGTCCAGGGAGAGGGCCATCGCTCTTAGCTGTACACCGTTCTCCGCGAGCGTGGGCTCAATGTAGATCACGCGGGACATATCGAAACCCTGGACGCTTAGGGATCCGATTCCAGGAGCGATCGTTGGCACAATAATTTCTTGCAGCTTGGGAGAGATACGTCTTCTCTAGAGAGGGAGATGCCATTGATAGCATGCGATCTTTAAAGGGGTTGCAGCTTCTCTGACTGCCGCACAAGCGAGATATAAAGTTGTCGCGTGAAGCAGACCGCCACGCCGCTTCCTGTGTGAGTATTCTATTCCCGATTCCCTCTCTTTCCGTTCGTGACCCAACGAGCGGGGAATACTGCGGTTAGTCGGACCTCGAATTCTCCATTGAAGAATTCTTTTTTTCGTGCAGAGCCCAATCCCCGCACCTCAATCATCATGCGCGAAATCATCAACCTTCATATCGGTCAAGCCGGGGTCCAGATGGGCGCCGCTTGCTGGGAGCTGTATTGCCTGGAACATGACATTAGTCCTGACGGAACCTTGAATTCTGCAACGAGTGGAATAGACAAGAGCTTCGATACGTTTTTCCTCTCGACCCCGACAGGTCGCTGCGTACCACGCAGCGTTTTCGTCGACCTGGAGCCGTCGGTCGTTGACGAACTTAGGAACGGAGCTTACAGGTTGGATTTTTAAAGGACGCCGCGGAGCGCTGCACTCCCGATGAGCAAGCGATTGTGCTAAATTCAGTCGAGAAATCTGATGCTTCATATAATCGAGAACTTCTCAAATCTCTAGGAAGCTATTCAACCCTGAGATGTTGATAACCGGTAAAGAAGACGCCGCGAACAATTACGCCCGTGGCCACTGTACAGTCGGCAAGGAGATGCTTCTGAGCAGCACTGAACGCATCCGGAAACAGGCCGAGCAATGTGACGGCCTACAGGGATTCCTGGTGTTCCACTCCTTCGGCGGCGGCACAGGCTCGGGCTTCACATCTTTGCTGATGGAGCACATCTCGCAAGATTTCGGAAAGAAGAGCCGCTTGGGATTCGCGATATACCCCGCACCCCAAGTTTCGACGGCGGTGGTCGAACCGTACAACGCAGTGCTCACAACACACGCGAATCTCGGGTATTTCGACTGTGTTTTCATGATGGACAACCAAGCAATCTACGAACTCTGTCGAAGGAACTTGGCCGTGGAACGACCCACCTACGCAAACCTCAACCGTCTGATCAGCCAAGCCGTGTCGTCCATCACGACTTCCTTGCGTTTCTCCGGAGTCCTGAACGTCGATCTCAACGAATTCCAGACGAATCTCGTACCTTTCCCGAGAATTCACTTTCCTCTGGTTTCGTATACCCCCATCATACCCGCGGACAAGGCGCATCACGGCCATCACAGTGTGCTCGATATCACGAATGCCGCCTTCGAGCCTCAAAATCAATTGGTTGTTTGCGACTGGACAAATGGGAAGTACATGGCTTGTTGCCTTTTATACCGCGGGGACGTGACGCCGAAAGACGTAAACTACGCCATCGCGAAATTGAAGCAGAAACGAAATATTCACTTCGTCGATTGGTGTCCGACCGGATTCAAAGTCGGGATAAACTACCAACCTCCAGCGGTGATCCCCGATGGCGACCTTGCCAAGGTACCGAGGGCGGTAACATTGTTGTCGAACACGACCGCCATGGGAGGCGCTTGGCAGCGGCTCAATCGGAAGTTCGATCTGATGTTTGCCAAGAGAGCGTTTGTCCACTGGTACATCGGCGAAGGAATGGAAGAAGCCGAGTTCTGTGAAGCCCGAGATAATCTGGAGGCTCTGGGGAGGGATTACGAGGAAGCCGCTCGATCATTCCACAGTAAAACTGAGTCCTCGTAGTGAAATCTGATACCTAATCAAAATCACTAAATCGACATCCGAGAAATGAGTATCTGTCTTTCGGGATGAGCGATTGGATTCGAAATAAATCCTGGCCCAGGTCGGGTATATCGTATCGTACCTGTGCATGATGGGGAACCCACCCTAGGAGCGATATTTAGTTCGCCGAGAAAACTATTATTCTTTATTGTTGCGATAGCGAGACTCGTTCGAGGACCTAATTTCACGGATATGGTCGGATAGGTTCGTCGAACGATATTAGATCCCGTGGTAAGACAATCTCGCATTCTCTTCCTCTTTCCTGCGTATCTGAAATGGTCGTTGTCGTCATCCCTGACGGATACGACTTCTCTCCACTCGGCAAGGCATTGTTGTGCGGAGTGAGAGAGCCCTTCAGAATTTGCTCCAAGTCGTCGTACGTCAGAGTGGCTCGGGGCATCGGCTCCAAGTTGACCGCACTGGACATGTAGATTTTGTAGACATACTTCATTTGTATAAACATCTTCAGATCATCTGGATCCGAGGGTCGTTGGAATTTCGGTGAAAGGTTAGCTTCGTAAACTTGCTCCGCTTTCCGCTTTCCTATCTGAGCCATCCTGGCGACCTGGTGACGGAGCCAGGCAAAATTTTAGCGAGGCCTAAGTGATTCGAAAGTATCAATTTTCCCCACCATTTTGCCTTTCAATGCTCCATGAGTACAGTTCGACCTGATGGGGAGTCCACAGGTCGAGACCTATCGATTTAACCCTGGATATGTGAACTCCGAGACCTCGATGAAGCCCTGCACAATGAAAACAGAGAAAAATGCCCAGAGAGCAGGAAGCCCAAGTCGGCCTCGGGCTCCTACAATCCGCGCACCGGCGATTATCCTCTCGCTCAAGGATTGATTTCAAGATGTTTTCTGTCCTAGCATCGGAATCTGGTTTTCCCGACATCGTTGTCGGTCAGGAGAATACAGCAGGACAGAGTACGAGTCGCTCCGAATCGTGAAAATCAGAAAAGTTTTATGGGCGATGCGGCGACGCTTTTAGGGCAGTTTTCCTTTCTGAACGATGCTCTTGACGGTGACTCCCGGCTAAACTCAACTAAAAGAAATCTCGGGGCGTTCGCCGGGAGTGGTTTGCTCCTCCAGACAGATCCGGTCCGACCATTCTCTCGTGGTGAGGTCGGAGAGGCTCGAAGCTAGAAGTCTAGAAGGTCTGGATTCCAATCGCCGGGTGCTACAGATCGAGCACCTTGATCCTTGTGATTGTATCCATGACCAAGTCTCTCTTCTGGAACTCCGGAACTCCGAGCGGAAACTTTCGACTCATCACACGAATATCCTCGAATCTCGTTCCTGCCAGGTATCGAATGTATTCTGCTCCGCTTAGGTAATCCGTATCAGGTATTCGAATTTATGTGGTATGTGGCCAGCACTCGATGAGGAGATCCAATCCATCCCGGTCGTCGCGCTCTGTGGCTCGGATTTCGCAATTTTGAAGCACACTGACGGCATGATCACGATGGATCACGGAAATTCGACGTTGAACCTCGCGGAAAAGTACCTACCTACTGAGTTTTCTTGATTCGCTTCAGCCGCAGTTGGAGCAAAGGGACCAAGGACCAATAAAGGACTTTTTGAGAATGATTCGATGTACCTAGGGAATCTTCTCTCAGAAACTTCAGCTTGAGCACAGATATTGTCAGCGAGGGCCGCGTTCTGTTGGGATACGAAGAGTCATTTCTGGGGAATCCTTCCGCCCTACGGCGGTCTGCGCTCCGCTCGGAGACTCACTTCCGGCCACCCGCCGCCCTCGCTCCTTGAAGGCAGTCGAATATCATTCGCTGGATGAGACCACATTTCTACTTCGAACGATCTATTCGAGTAGCTTGGATTTTCCACACGGAAGCAGCGAAAATCGAGACGCTTTGCTATAAATTCGGTGATGACAAACGGAGGTCGAGCCGGGAATTGAATGTCGTCGGACCGATCATCGTTTTTTTTGTGTTTTTCACATTTTTTGTGACCGACCTAGCTAGTTCTCCGACACTCTGCATACCGCTGGCGGGATGATTCCGAAGAGTTTTCCGGTCGATGAAGATCCTCGACTAGGTTGCCGAAGGGATTGCCTTGCGCTCACAATTCGTGGCGAAGCCCATCGAACTCTTACCGAAAATTCTATGCTCGCGAAGCTCGTCGCAATAATTCGAGAGCTACCGGATGAGAGTTCGCAATCTCTCTCGAGTCCAGCCGTTCTCAGTCAACAATTACGGACCACAAAAGTCGAGTTCCTCGGAAGGTCCTACCGACATGATGTCTCCCGTAGGACTACGGTCGGAGCCTTCCGGTCGAGGCCCCTACCGATACCTCACTTTGTGGAATCAAGAGTACAATCGATACACAACCTACAGCATGGAACAACTCCTGACTCTAAGTAGCACTGACCGACAGGTATTGAACGATCCTCCCGAGACATACTCTAACGGTCTCGCTCAGCAAGAAACCTACGGTCAGGGTGAACGTCGTGGCCAGGAAAGCTAAGAAAACCGACTTCACGCTCCGTAGGCCGATAGTGTAAGAGGTTTCTGAGATTCCAAACATTTCAAGATCGTCGTATTTCCTCCTCAGATTGGCCATTATCAGGAGAACCGCCCTCTTCACGAGCGTCGAGTCTCCCCAGGAATCTGGCAGTTTTTGCTTCCCTACAACACTCGGATTTTTGTCCCAGAAGGACCGCTCCCAAGGATCGTTCGGGTAGAGTGAGTCTCTGACGTGATGGAACTTCAGCAAGTCGTGCTCCAGGATCTGCCGCAAGAGATTTGCCATCTCGTCGTATAACACATGTCCGCCGTGACTCGAGCCCACCGAGCAAAGCTGCTGAGAGGCGTCTGAGCCTTGTACGGGCTCGAAAACTAGGTCTCTTATCAGATGGCTCAATTTGAGCCTCATGATCTGCGGATCATTGCATATGGTGTGATGCTGGGCGAGAAGCGCGAGTTCCGTCCACTTCAACATGCCATTGGTAGCGATTGCGTTCTCCCAGCACTTCGTGTGCAGGCTGGCTTCCACGACAGAACCTTGCGACTCTCCCCTTTCATCTCCCAAGCTCAAGAGATTAACCTCCCCGGGAGTGAGTTCTGTATCGAACCAGTCTCCACGGTAGTTGACGGTTTCACAGGCTCGTATTTTACAATTCGATGGATGGATTCGTTGTTCGTATGGGGACGAGATGACCTCGCTTTTCATCAGGTTCATCGGGAACTGGATCAGGAGCGAGGTCAAACCACACAGGAGCAGCACCAAGACCCCTTGTCTCGAGGAGTCGATCAGAGAATGAGAACTGTCCCCACTGAGAAGATGATAGGAGGTTCTCCACATCGATCTCAGAGTAGTGAATGATCGATACCGCCGTATGGTCAGTATCCATGGCAATATGAATAATGATAGGATCGTGCATGGAACTTCGAGGGAGGCGCACTGGGTGATTTTTGAGACGAACAGAGTTTGCCACGGGATCGGTACAGCAAGACGATAGGGGAGATAGTTGTACGCGTAAAGGTAGGTGTTCCGGTTCTGGAAGAAAAAAAAAACGCAGTCCGTCGACTGCTCCTGACTTCTGCGAAAAAAAATCGCGCTGGCTCCAGCAGTTCGGTTATAATCGGAACGCTCGAACGTATTTTGCGGCGGGTGTTCGCACACGGTCGGATATACTCACATGAGAACAGCTGTTGAGCAGAATTTCGTCTCCCTCCCCACCGTCGAGGAATACTATCGACGTGAACCGCGCGATAAAGCCATAGCTACGGTTCGAGGCGTGCGTGACCGTTTGGAACATTCTGCCGATGTCATCCGATTCGTAACTCTTGACGATCAATCTCACGATGTGCCTGCTCACCGTTTGGTCGGATCTTCTTATGATGAGGCTCGAATGCAACGAATCTTGAGCGAATTTTCTGAGAACGACAATTATGCCGCGGTACCGATGAAAGTAGAACTTGTATCTCAGATAAGGGCTGAGCATGTCCAGATACTCCTGTGTGGATCTGTGGTAATAGTCGTATCTTTTCAGCTCTCGAACTTGTATCAAGAAGCGCTTCTCTATGTTGAACTGCTCGAAAGTTTCCATTTGATGCGAGCAATTCCGCGGTCCGCAGAGCTTGTGCAGATCCCAGAATTCAGTCGCTGATCGGAGTTTCGGTGGTGAATCCCGTTCCCAAGAAATTGTTATCTCTCGTTGATTCGACTTCAGCGGGAAGGGTTGCGTTGACAAATACACCTGAACATTTGGGAGATCCCGGAGGAAAATGAAAGACGTTTTCGCTTCCGCCGTGGTGAAGAGTACGAAGACGAAATTGAGTTTCTGATCCTCTGATGACCGCTGCGAGCATATGGCGAGGCATATATCGAGAAGTTCTTGGAAAGCACTACCGGACTTGCGAGACAGCGTCGGTATCCAACCGCCAAGAGTCTCTTGCCTGAGTAGAAGTATCGAGAAGACCAACAGGGATAGTGAAGCTGTCCCCTCCGTCCCGAGCACCATCGTTACAAGGTGTATACTCCAAAACTTCCTCCTCGGTTATCCAAGTCGAAACGGAGTGCCCTTCTCATCTGGTGGCAAGGAACACGTCGCCCAGCATAGTAGATCTCTTCGACGGATATCAGTGTTGTGGCATGCGGATGTCGATCGCAATATGGGCTCGGAAGATACCTCGGGGAACACTACGCTACCAATCTCGAATTGTTGATGAAGCGAGCGGAGCGGCGGTCGATGAAGGGTTCGACTGGTCGGAATATCAGTCTTCATCACCCTGCGGGATCTTGGGATATTCTCTTGTGATTACATCGAATCGCCTCTCTCTTCGAATACCGAGTTCATAATGGGGGATTCACGGTCGAGCTCTTGAGGCAATGTCCTCGTCCTGAAAGGATTTGAATCTGATAGCGCTTGAACAGGTCACACAGAAGCGTATGCGAATTCGGCAAGTCGATTGCTGTTGAAGCTGGGTCGTTGCACTTTTAACTTCGCCCCTAAGGTTCGGAACATTGTTCTTGGTCCTGCTTTCTAACACGTTTAATGGATGATAATTCCCCGAGCTTTTGCATCGCACCCGATTATGATACGAATTGCGGACTTCCCTGAGTTCAGAGGCAATGTTCGATGTTTCTGTGGATGAATTCGCTGTCATATTGGATCAAGGATCTCTAACTAATCAGAGAACTCGGAGGAGCCGGTCACGGCTCACGATATTCTCCCGAAGGTTCTCGCGAGGAACTCCGACCGTTCTTCCGGTGTGCATCTTCGAGTTTCAGCCCGATCACTACATCCGTGCTGAACTCTCATCTCCTTGTCATCCCTGCACGGGTGGGGCTCGACGCGATGTGGTCGAGGCTCCTCGATTCATCCTCGATCCCTACCCGAGCTCGGAAGACTAGTACATAGTCGGAGGCTTTCGCCGACACTCGAAGCTTCGGACCGCAGTACTTTCACAGGGACCGGGCCCCGATTGCCGCATCTACCTTCCGAGTAATCGGAAGTGTAGTCACCTTTCGATCACGAATGATTCGGCGGGAAGATCGGACTCTTCGGATTTTCTGGACTTCGCCTTGGCTGGTCTAATTGGGAAGCTCAGCATGAGCGCGGCTGATCGGTATGTAGTGGTTGTTTTGTGACGGAGGGCCATCGCTCGACCTTGAACTAATCAGTGTTCTTCTTCGACTGCAATTCTTCTATCGCTTCTAGTGTTATTAGGAGAGGCGTGGTGCGCACATCCGGCGTCTCTCCGGTGCTTCGCTTTCGCAACCCACGCGAATATTCCAGCTCCTCTCCGACCCAAGCGCGCGGGATAAGTTGCCCAGCACGATGCGTGCGGCGATGTGTCTGACTTATCCCGAGCCCTGCAAGCAGCGTGCAGTTTCGTTCCGAAGGTGAGCCAAAGATAGCCTGAAACCTTCCACGGAGTTATGTCGCTGATCGAGGCTCGGTCGAAACATGCGAATGGAGCGGACAGCTTAGCTCGTTGCATCGAGACCCGATACGGTGCGAATACTGGTTGCGAGACTTTTCTACGGAGCGCTCCGAGTGCAACTTGAAAGTGACTCCACCTCAGCCCGCTCGATTCGAGCCCCGGACGAGCGAGCTGACTTCCCCGAAAGGCAAAACCGAAGCTTTTGAGCATCTCCTGTGCGAGTTTCCTTTTCTCGAGTATCCGAATATCGGACTCGGACAATCCAACATGACCGAATGGAGTGCAACTTTCAGATGACCTTGAGGACAGCTGAAACCACGGCCGTTTACGCCTATCTCCGGCCCGAAATCAAGGAGCGTCTGCCATTCGTCCGTCCTCAGCATGAAGTGGGTCTGGAAGAGTACTTCCGTCGGGATAAGAATCCGCAGATCGCGGATCTCGTCGTATTGGCGGCCGAGTTGGGCTTGCCTGTGCAAGCCGTCAGAGTGAGTAACCATATTCGAGAATAATATACTCTCCTCCGTGTTGGCTGGAACCCATCCCAGATACAGGCTCCAAGGGAGCTGGGGGTTCCAGTCCTCGAAACGTCTGGGGAAGGCGCTACGTCATCAATTATTGTCATTCGTCAGTCATCGCCGAGCCGAAGAATTTTCAAAGATGAGGATCCTGAATGCTAAAATGATTTCTCTATCTCCGCCTAGATCTGGTTCGACCATCGTCTTGCGAAATGGAGGAGGGGAGAAGGTTTGAACGCGAACTGGAGATTGCTCACGGAGTGATTGAGGGAGCGTCCGATTCGATCATTGAAGGTCCAAGACCGCGAATGCTTTGATACCGGTGAAAGTCAAGGATTTGAAGCAATAAAGATCCGATTTGAATAACCGTCGGCGTCTTTCGGAATCTCGTTCATGCGGTGGCGTGACGAAGGGAGTGTTCTTGCGAAATTGACGTGAGACGAGTGAAATGAATTTCTACCTATATTCCTCCCAAATTAGATTGGGAGATCCACGCGGGAATTCGCGAATTTTCCGAGAATCGGACGAATGAGGATTACGAGCGGGCTTTGATTCCACGATCTGCAATCGCAATCGCGGAACACGATCGGAATCCACCGACTTGAGAGTGTCCGGTTCGACGCTCCCAGGGGCGGAAGTAGCGAATTCCTCGAGAGGGATTCGCCTCTCTCCCGATTGGCCTCTATGGCAGGCTGAATGACCCGAAATCGCAAACCGAGCGGAAGAAGGCTCACAACAGATTCAGAAACTTCTGCTGGTCATTGGCACGAGTGATCGAAACCTGACAGGTCGGACGTCTAGTCCCGGACTCGGTGATTCTTGACGGAGAGCCGTTGGAATCGTCCCGGCGTATCTCGCGTTGAATGGACCAAAGACAATTTCCGGCACTCTGACAATCTGTCTCTAGAGATCCGCCTGGAATCGAATTCAGGATCTTCAAATGAAAGATATCAAGATACCTCGAGGTCTCATGGTACACTGCGTGAATAGGAAAGTCGTATCCCCTCCGAAATACTATCCACCGTGATGGTGAGCAATATGAGAGCGTTGAAGCATCTGTAACACGAAGTGCTTCCCGCCGCGGAGAGTTGAAGTCTCCGGAGACCTGATCGATATCTCTTTCAGGACTCGTACTCTCGAGTCTTCTCCGCATTGTTCCGAATGGGGTAGAACGATCGGAAGGATCATGGAGACTGAAAGTCCGCAATGCTCGGTTAGCGTGGGAAACCTCATATTCACTCAGTCAGTCGGTGGCGCTGATCGGAGCCTAGGTCTTGAGAGCACTACGTGAGCTCTCGCTTTATCAAGATTTCAATGAGTCACTGGCGAAAGTGATTACGTTGTACGCCGAATCGTCTGGATCGATGTCTCAAGCTGAACATTGGATTATTGAGCGCTTCGACTCTGGAGCAGCAGAATATATTGCTTATCGTAAATAGGCCCACGAGTCGGAGATGGCCGCAACGTCGAAGTTTAACTGGAAGAACTTCTGCTTTTAGAGCTCGAATTTTACGGGAATAGCCGAGGATCCGTCCGAGACTGCGAGCTCCAAGTGCCAATGCCGCCTCTCATTCGAGTCCCAGCCAAGAGTTCAGCGGAGCTCTTGGAGAGCGATTGTGTTCGCTTCTGCCCAGCCTCGGAACGGTTGTCCACATGCCATGGAATGAGTCGGGTGACGGTGGTACGGCATCGCTCAGTGACGATGACGGAAAGCCGAGAAGAGAATGGTATGACGTCGACCGGGGAATCGGTCAACTAGTGAGATCCAGCTCGCTCGCTCAAGATGAACGTCGAGTTTCTGATTATCGTTCGTAAGACAGTTCCACAGAGTCGACCGGTTGCCAGGGATCCTCGACGAAGTTCCGACTGGGATCGCGTTTCGCTCCGTGTCGGAGCTAATCTAAATTATATTTTGAGCAAACATTCTATCCTCGTCAAGTATGACGCAATTTTCAAGGAACCATCTGCATACGAAGGGTGCATGGTGAGCACTTCCATAACTTCGAGTCCTGGTAATCATCTCGATACTTTTCGGTGCGCGAAATCGGTACCTTTCGAGGGGAAGGTTTCATTTCTATCGAGAGAATCCCGGCTTAGGGGCGAGGCGGATGCCCGGCGTGGGTCTATGACGGGAGCCCGAAAAAACTCGTTCACGTCTATCGAATCGTTTGTAATGTCGCGCTCGCCACCACTCACGGAAATTCGCGATCGAGTCGATCCTCGATCATCAGTCGCTGGTGTCATCGGGACTGGCCCAGACGCCAAGGGCTTTACTCGCGAACGCGGATAGTTTTCCGTAGGATCAAGTTTGGATCGCTGTCCCTGAATCCCCTCTTGAGACACATTCTCCAAACTTCCGGCGGACTCTCGTCGAGTAAATGCGGAATTCGCTCTGAGCATGGTGACCTTCTGCCGTCTTCACTTTCGTGGAGAAAACTCATGCGCGAATTTCGGAAACAGCAGAACGACTCCCGTTCTCTTCGACTTCTCCCAGAGCAGCTGATCCTGAAGATAGCGATCTCATTCATTATCTGCCCTCCGAAATTGATTCCTTGACGTCTGATTGTGGGTGAGTAGTTGAGTAGTGAACGATCATCACCAGAGGAACTGTGAAAAGGAGGAGAGGGGGCCTCGTGAGCTCTGTCGTCTGCTGTGAGTACTGGCGCTTGCGCTGTTCAGCTCCGCGGCTGCTGCTGTTAGCGACCGTCGAGCAAGCAAGCGAGCGACAGCCGCCGCGATATTCTGCTGCTCACTAGCGCTGGCTGATGTATGTATACTCATCGGGCCGCTGACTGTAGAGGCACGGGCGCTCCTGTTCGCTTGTCCACTTCAAGCTGACTAGAGACGGCGCTCATTCGTCATGGATTTCTGTGAAAAAGTGATACCCGATCCTTAGTTGGTGATTCTGAACTCGAAAGGCAATATCAGTGAAGTGCAGATAGGGCTGGCTGGCCCAGGGCTGCGCTGAGGAACCGGTGAGTTCTTTTCGTCAGCGATTCTCCGAACCTATTTCGGAGAATCTCTTGTTGCGTGTCGTGATTTGGCGTGAGGAGACTTTCCGATCCAATATCAGGGTTTCTGATCTTCCGTCTTGAAATCGATTCGAAGTGAAGCTCAGTCCGGCGGAAACCGCCCAAACTGCGGTTCGAACTTGGGTCCGGACTCGGTCAGCTGATATCGATGCGGACTCCCAGCTGTCTCTTGGAAGGTTTCTCAAGTCTCGGATTAGATCAAGAGCCCTCCGCTCAGATAAGACGCGCAGAAGCTCAGATAAGAGGCGACGAACTTGAAAAAACTTCCCTTCAGTAGTTCATTTAATGGCTCTACCCTTTGTTTTTTCTCCACGCTGAACAATCGCTCTTTCGGTAGAACTCGAAGCATAAATGAGCGATTCAAGCGCTCGGCGAGGAGCGAAACTGACCAAAACTCGACGGCGGTCAGCTCCGCAAACATTAGAGAACTTGCTCTGTTGGAAGGCCGCTGTACCGAGCAAAGCTCCAAAAAGGTTTAAACGATTCATTCGCGGAGAGAAAAATTCCGTCCGTGGGATAGCAGCATGTCCATTGATGTTTTTCTCGGTCCGCTATACTCCCGTCAGATATTGGCCTGCGCGAATATTTATTCGAATTTCTGTACTATTCCTCCATTGCGATATGCGAATAGAACACGGGACATTAGTTTGTCTCCCCCAGAAGTTGACGGACCGCATAGACGTCAGATCGCGTGTGTTGTCGAAACTCATCGCTTCGACGAAGAATTTCGCCTCGCAGATTCCTCGAGGAGAGAAGTTTTTCCTCACGGCACTTACGCTGAGAATGTAGGTGAGAAAATATGAACTTCTCAGCTGCATTTTTCCGCCGCATCTCAAGCATGGAGAAGATTTTGTCAAGCTGTGCAATCCTCCGGAGCAGCTCGAGGATGGCATGCCCGATAAGTAGGTACTTGATGAGCTGTGTTAGATGGATCCGGAAACTTGCGGGGAATTCCGTACGAATGAAGTTTCTCTTCGTCCGTCGAGCGTGAATGCAAGATTAAGGCGGAGCTCGAACTTCCCTGAAGATGACATCACCGAAACGCAACAACAATTCACCGCAAACTCTGATTGCACGTCTAAGAGCGAAGACTGTTGTCTCACAGCCTCGGCAAGCGACGACTTCCGAGGGCTTTTCTGATGACCGCTCCGATATTCATTCCTTCCCTCGGGTAGAGGAAAAAGGTTTTTTTTTCGCTAAGTAGTGGCGAAATTTCCGACTCCCACTATTAAGGGTCCGCCAGGCTCAAACCATTCGAGCGTTTTCCGTTCCCCGTTGTACTCTGTTCGGAGCCAGGCTGATTGATCTTCGTGTTGCAATTATGCGACCCCTTATTTCCGAGGTTTAGGACTCCCCGCAATCGTTGATCGCTTCGTGGAGCTTCCGCGAGTCGTCTCGAAGAAAAGCGCACCCGCGAGGCGACCCCGCCGGGTGTCGCGGTCCGATTGCACTCGCGGTGTCGGAATCTCAAGAATCATTGAACCTCAAAATCTTTCGCCGGAACCGATGCGAAAAGTTGCAGAGACTCCATATCGAAGGCGAGAGTGTAGAGGTGAAGCTTTCAACGCGTCCTACTGACAAAGTTGTGAAAGTGACTGCAAATATAATTCGTCACTTGGATTTTGGAACGAAACGGATTATCCAGTGTTTACTCAAAGATCTATTTGGAAGAGACCGCTCGTGCGAGCCCGCCGACGTGAGTATGACTCCGACGCATTTTTTTTGTCTAGAAGCGGACGAGCAGACGAGAACAGCTTGGCGAACTCCCAGGCTGCGTGAAATCTCGTGGTGGCGGTACTCGTGACGCTTCTGCCAGTCATCATTGGTCTGCCAGCAATGCAGAAGAACAATTTCTGTGCGCTTTCCCCATCACGGTGTTGAGCGACGTCATCGGCCAATGCTGGGGTCGGATTCTATTATTATTGTGGCGGACGCACTCCCACTGACACGGAGTTGAACCGCGAGGGGTGAAAACACAAGATTTGAACTCGTAGAGATCACACGTGGAATGCGCTGCGCACGGTTGAATTGAGAGACGACTGGAGACTCCGAGTTGATCGGAGCTCTCCTGGAGATGACAACGGAAGAATTGAAAGAATCTCCGTGATGTCGATTGATAATGATGATACGGGAATTGAACCCGAAAATACAGGAAAAGAGTATCGAGTCCGCGAGATCGTGTCTCCGCGTGACTCTACGCGACGCTAACTGCTGGATTGGTGGTCGACGATGGCCCCCTGAAGATGGCTGCCACGTCGCTGCAACCGGAATACCTGGCAGTGTTCTCTGAAGGAGAACCAGCTGATGCTCTGCAAGCCGATCGAGACGGGTCTCTCACAAGCGCCACAAAGACTCAGGGTTTCCGAAGCGCGAGCTCATGTTCGAACTGCGGGCGATGCATAGCCTCCAAATCAGGGTTCGATCGGTCGCCATCCGACGGCTGACAAGTGATCGGTTCCTAGACGACGAACGTGTTCGCATGTGGCTGAAAACAAACAAGTCCGGTGATGGTTCAGAATCAATCGAGAACATCCTGCCGCTTCGATGTCTATTCAGTGGTCGCCGGAGACGGAATTCGCATTCCAATCTGGACACTGGACACTTCTTCAGCATCCCTTCCTCTTCTGAATGAATCATGGGGTCAGATTCCGCCGTGGCGATCTCCAGTATATACGTCGACGCCACTGCTGTGGGCTTACGCGCGCAGTTCGACATAATGTTCTCCAAAAAGGGAGTCAATGCTCTCTGGCGGAACGACGGCGACGGAATCGTTTTTTGCGTTCCCTCCGTGATACGCAGCTGCGTGGGATCTTGAAGTCATCAAGCCCCGGGGAGAACGGTCAACCGAGCCTTGCTCGTCCACTCAGACCATTATCAGCGTCCAGAGTATATGTGCGTAGATTCTGGCTTGTCACCGAAGATGGGATCGGGCTCCGAGATCACCATTCTGATCTTTATGAAATGAGCTCGATCCCTCAAGCCGCGTGGGAGACGAGCTCGTAGCCGCTTTCGAAATACAACGGGACACGAGACGTGAAGGAAAAACACACTCAGCGTTCCTTTCCGGTCCGAGCTTTGTCTCACGCGCTCTTCCGCAGAATCAATCGTACCGACTCCCATTCGGGAGTTGAGCCTTTTCCCAAGCATTCCTCAGACGGAGGCTCTCCTCGTGAAGTGATGGTATTTTTTGGGCGAGAACTCTGGGAAGTCTCCCCTCGGGTGGAAGAAATTGATTTGACGACGGCCGCGAGCGTGAGCTCATTCGTTGCTCGAGGTAGTCGTCCAGCCCGAGGGAAGTGTCTGTTTCGAGTTCCCGAGAGCATCCCGCTCCCCTTCGGGTGGATGCCAGCTTAGAATCCCAAGACCCGGCCGAGCGGACCGCGGTGCCTCAACTCCGCGCCGTGGGACTCTTCGTGGTGGAGACAAAGGAGGGAAAGGTTCCGCTTATCGGAGCAATGTCAACTATCATGCGAGAAGAGCGCACTAAGGAGTCCGAATACCGTCCCTTGCAGATATCCGCTCGGTCATACGATCCATAATGTCTGGACGGTCTGGGGAGATCTTCCATCCCGATCCTATCCCTCAAATTCCTACCTGCCCCGAGAAGCCGCTCGATCTGCTCGCGGAGATCGAACGAGAGTTGCCGTTTGTGTTGTTCCGACACGAACGACCATCGCAACAGAATCCCTGCTCCGAGAAATTCCGAGACACCGATTCGATAAGGTGAGTACGGCTCGGAGTGCCCTCCTCACGATGCAGCAGCAGCAGCAGCAGCGAGTCATGTCTCTTTCTTTCACGGCGCAACACTAACTGAGTCACTGCTTGACACTGGCCGCTAAGTCATTGCTCGAAAGGATGCCGTGGAGTTGGTCAGCATGTCTCAGTTGTACGCACCCGTTCATTCTCCGTTTATTATCTCCCTAACTCTGTCAGCGAGCTCGGTAGTGCTTTCGAAAAGTTTTTCTTCAACGATTGCGATGCGCTCGAAACGGAGGAGACATCCTTCAAGGTGGATTGCGAGAAAAGTGGGCCTTCTAGGGATCGCGGGTCGTCTCCTCCGTGGAAATGTCCAACGAATCCCTCTCTGATCGATGACAGAGTGTGCTGGAGCCCTTTAAGGGCCAAGGGGTCGCCTCTGCTCGTGAGTTGCTTCCGTGGAGACTTTGAAATTAACTCTCATGTTCATGCCGTCGTAGGTTCCTGAAACAGAATCGCCTATCCTGGTGGAACAGTCCCACGTCAAGATCTGACATGGATGATCTCGAACCACCTCAGAATATCTATGAAGTTGTTGAAGAAGAGTCCAAGGATTCGAAGCCACACCACTATGAAGACATTCCCGAAGAGTTCTTCCTACGGAAACGACAGGAGCAGCCGCAGCAGGAAGTGCATAAAGCTGTCGATCTAGAATCACGTAGGTGTACTCTACTCCACATCTGATGAGTGCCGCGCGCGTCTCTCACGTGCTCAATGGAGTTGTAGAGGTCGATTCGATCAATCATAAATAATTATAGACCTTATAATAATTATAGACGTGAAACTATCATACGTGAAATTATTATTCCCGGTTTGATTGTTTTTCTAACTTTGTCGTCGACCGGTTTTTCCGATCAAATTCCTCTCTCTCCCACAGGTTCCCCCGAGAGAGTGAAGCTTTCAGTGGCTACGAACCCGTTCCTGAACTCTAACTATGATATCCCGAGTGTGCCGGAAGTAGACCTGTTCCTCCAGAGTCAGGTGCGTCGTAAAGTTCATGCATGGCTTAGAGCAAATTCTGACGCTGCCGTCTGAAATTCGGCGCCGTTTCCGAGCTCTTTCTCTGTGAATCCCTTGTATCTTGGCAACAATGACTCACGTCGGAATTTCAGATCTATTCAGAAGTGGGTCATAAAAAGCTTGTTGCTCTCTGGATTGTTGTTTTCGTTGAGCTGACTCAATGGTTAGAGATTCACGGCTTTTCGATCCGAAACCCGATTTCATTCGATCACGACGGCTCATTGTAAGGGGCCTAAGGGAGTAGTTATCCAATTTGACAGTTCTGCGCGATCCCTCTGCTTGACAGAAAGTCCATAACTTGAACTCTCGGGGCCATGGGAGGGAACCGGCAGATTCGTCACTCATTATCCTGGGCAATAAGGAGCTGAGTAAATAAGTTTCGTTGTATCAAGGCAAACCATCCCAGCTCCTTCGTTACCAATCGTCACAATCGTAATCCGAGACACTATGGAGAGGAGTCACTTTTCAATTGCGCAGTCTATTCAATTTGAATAGCTTCCCTTGCTCCGCGAGCATCGAGATGAATTATTCAAACAACGCACATCCGCCGCTGCGAGCGACCGGGCGAACGAAAGTTCCCTGATCCACAATATTCTCCGATCTGTTTCCGTTATCGATGCAGCCCTCCAAATGAACAGATGTCACAAGTTTCGAAATTCCTCTGCAAAGCTCACTGTGTATTGGTCTCATCGACTCAAGTTCGCGCTGATTCCTGGATCCCAACGGCTCGATCCTTGGGAGTTTCAACCGACTGTTTCTCAGGTTCATCATTCCGATTTTTTTCGTTTGAATCCCAAACCGTATTGAGATCGATACATGTCAAGTACCCGACAGACCTTTATGCTTTGCGGAACACTGATTGCAGAGTTTCCATGCGTCATATTAATGCATGTTCCGAGGAGATCCCCGATTTCCTCCGTTATCTACTTCTATACAGCCTGGAGATCAGAGATTAGTCCCTTCTCGGAATATCCTATGAGCGAATGGTCGGGCAAGCGAGCCACCACCATGATTCATGTAAGCTGGCATTACTGGCACGTCTGAATCCGCTCGTCGCGCACCTCTCGGTGTTCCATCGATGTGCATGAAGGCCTGTTGCTGGTATCGTCACATGGGTCCACTCTCTGGACGCTAATCGTATCTCGGGTCTCCCGGGCCAAGTCAGAGAGAATACCTGTAAGTCGGCCACTATGCGTTGGGCCGCGAGAGAGCTGACGGATGTTTATTCCTTCGAGCGTGCGAGCAGGTTACTCGCTTGGTGGGGCCGGAAAAAAATCCGGAATCCAACTCGACGTTCCCTCAAGCGCCACAGTTGCCGCTGGCGTCGGCGTCATTGCCGTTCGCCTATACCCATGTGGGTTAAATATGGTGCTAAAAGCACAGGTGTTTTCAGTTCTGTTTACCGGAACGAGTCTGGCCCCTATCGCTTGTTGTGGATCGTTTCATGTGCGCTTCTCTCCAAAACTTGTTGTACTCGTTGATTCTACCGCCTCGGATTCAGATTGCAACCTAATTGTGTGACTGGAGCACGCGCTGCGCCGGTAACGGAGAAATTCCGAGTCGTAATTGTAGTGAATAAGCAAGATCGGACTGTCGAAGATTGAGGGCGACTGCTGCGCTCAATTATGCCTCCATGGCGTCCAACTCTCCGGGGTCGACTGACATACAGATCACTCGGCTTTGCGGAAGTCCAAGTTATTATGTTGCATCATGTTATGATAATCAGTGTGGAGGCTTCCTGCGGATCTTGTAGGGGTCTTGGCGGGGTTTTGTAGTTCCGGAGATGTTGTCCCCGAAAATCCTGATTCCGTCGATTACTGCAATGGCTCTAGAAAGCGAAAAGCTTCCCACGCATTCACTTTCTAATTGGTCAGTTGGGGCTCTCAGAGGACCATGGCTCTAGTTTCCTGATTCCCTCCTCACTGGTGCCGCTCACGGCTCGACCTCCGAGATCTTTTCTTGGGCGACTCGGAGGGGAACTCCGGGAGGGACACCATTGTTCGATAACTCATGGATCCTCATGGACCGAGGCGGTCCTCCGCCGCGCCTTATAGTTTCGAGGAGCTCACCGCGATCGTCTAACCTGAGTCTAACCGGCGAGAGGCATCCACAATTTCGTGGAAGGATTTTTTCCCCTCTCGAGAGCTACGTGCCGGGACCCATGACTTCCGCCTCAATTTACGATGTGAGTCTCCAGCAATAAGTCCCGGAATCGTATTCATCTAACTTGGGAAGGGCGTGCGATCGACAAGAGACGCCCATGCAGATCTCTCTGAATCTTAGCCGAAAGTGCGGTTATCTAACAACACCCGTGTCTCCCCCGCATCCACTGCATCCGTGGCTGAACGTATCCGTCAGGCGGCGATGATCCGCTCTGTTTCAGATATTGTAAACATCAACATTGTAGAAACGACAACAATTTCTATTAGCACGGTCGCCTTCATCCACAGCCGTCAGTCTATGATCTTCCGCGTTCTCCATCATCGGGTCTCGGGGAACCATCGAGCGCATGCCCGACGAGCATTTCGACGTCAATAAGCGGTGAGTGGATCAAGTCTGTCATTACCCATTGTTAGAACTAAGAGGGTCATCGACGGAGCGGGCAATGTAGTATCTCGACATTAGTCGGCAAATAAGCTTGATTTTCCGGGGATCCGTCGGCTGTGACTCCGATATCATCGCGCGGAGTTTGAATGGAGGAGCTCGCTGGTCTATCCTCTGAAGCAGAGGGAATAATCGAAGTGGCTCGCTCTTCCAGATGCCTTGGATGTGAGTCTTTCGGTAGACCACAGTTCAAACTACGACGTTCTTCAGAGCTCGCCGACCGGAAGTCCTCTCCGTGAAGAAGCGAATCATTATGATGTACCGGCGGAGCACTTCGCGACTACTCCACGGAAGGTCAGTGGAAACCTCCTCTCGACGATCCTGCATCGCCAGATCGGGATCCGAGAGCACTCTTCTTCAGTGAAGGGTCTCTGTCGATGCGACGAGTCTCGGTTTGGAGAGATGCTCATCGAATTCGCAATCGAGAAGCAGTTCAGGGAGAAGTTTCGTTCTCGGCAATGCCCCCGAATACGATTGGCCATGGAGATTTCTAAGGACCCAGGCCTTTGCCCACATGCCCATATGCAGCTTTACTGGAAATGAAAGATTTCTCATTCTCTGCCGACGAATCCGACAGATATCACTTCGAAGCGAGACTCGTTTCACCGGAAGTTACCCTTTACCCGTGAGATGCTCATAGAATGTATGGAAATCGGCGTTGTTCGTCGAGGGGCACTGTCAATGCGTTATTTGATTCCTAGGTGACATCTGCTTGGAGAGAAGTCCCTATGGATTCCTATAGTACGTTCCCTCGGTCGAGACGAGACGCTAATGGGACCGAGCAGGATGTCGGAGCCGATGTGATAGTGAGTCAGTCGTGTGAATATCTCCCCATTTATGTCTTATACAAGAATGAGGCATCCATGCTGCCTACAAGGATAGCCCCGGAGCTTTCGTTGTATTGGGAGTTGGCCTCTGAAGATTTTATATTATCAAGCAGCCGACACCGTCCGCATCTACGCTGTTTGACTCGCTCGGTTCCACAACAAACACTTACGACGTACCGTGTCGACCGGAATCAGTTTCTGATCGATCGGATTTCTTGTCGATTCTGTCGGAAACTGTATACGACATTCCACTGTCAGTGCCCCCACCGTCGAGCCCACCACCCCCTCCGCCCCTCCAGGAGGAGCCCCCGAGGATGCGGAGTCCTCCACCGGTGCCGATGAGACCTTCGACGTCGCCTCAAAACAGACCGGAGGTGAGTTCCCCCGTCGCTTCCTTTCCCGGAAATCTCTCTGAGATTTGGGGAATCATCTCTACGGATATATGCGACGGCGCGGGGGTGAGCGTGACTGAGGAGAGAGAGCCGTTCTACTCCACAGCTGAGCCCGAAGACCAGACCGCCTCCAGTCCCTGCGCCCAGACAGAAAATTCCTCCCCCTCTGCCGCCGAAGCAAGAATCTACACCACCTCGATCCCGACTATCAGAGCACCGGAAGTTTTCCCTACAACCGACGCCGTCAGGATCCCCGCCGATCAAAGAATCCCTTCTAAGGTTCGTGTTTTAGCGCTTGAAGTTCTCTAAATCGACGACACCTCCTTTCTCGCCCCGTCCCGTCCTCTCGAGCTCCGGTCATGTTGGCCGTCATCCGATCAAGAGAGTATAGCGGGGGGAACGAGGATAGCTACCCTGAGAATGTCTGGAGCGGGAGCTCCGCGCTCGGCGTTGACCTCGAATATCCTCAACACCCACCATGCCGCAATTTTATCCCTGTCTACCTGACCTACATCTTTATAATCCTCACTCCCTGCATATCCAAATTATATCGTAACTCGGCCTCGTATTGCGGGCATGTTGAGTCGTCTCGGTGTCTAAGCCAGAGCCACCATTCCCTTGCAGAAAATGGTAGAGTTCAATCGATAAGTAAACCTCTCCTCATAACACTACATGAATGCTCTCACAATGGATCTGCGTGATGCATGTAGTCCGTATTAATTCTTATAAGGCGTGGCCTCGCGGTAGATTCGCCGGAATCACGATCGATTTCGGACCGGGCGACCGTAGAAGACGCCTGCCGTTGAGTGTGAACATTCGCTTTCCAGGGAAAGCGGGACATCTCTGACTTCTTGGTATCTCGATACAAACCAGATCCGAAACTGTGATATTCCCCACAGAGAGCTTACGGGTAGTTCCGAAGAGAGCGAACCCAGTTCCATACCCACAATGCCGAGTAAGTGACGCTGATGAATCACGCACAATCATAGGTTCATATATACAGTGCCCGCCCCAATAAGCCTCCTGTCTATTCCAACACGCGCCTTTCGGCAGTCGCATTGGATGAGCCTCCTGAGAATGTTGTAAACAAATTTTTAAGGTATAACCCCCACGAAAACTCCGATAAAGTCCCAGAGCATGTCTCAGAAGGGCGGGTCGAAGCGAATCACGATAGCAATAAAGACCGTGTCGAATCACTTCAAGAGAAAAAGTGAGTCCCGTCTGTTTTTTTCCGGAAACTCGATTTAACTCAAGTGTTTCCGAGGTCACGTCATTCTCAATTCCATGAACAGCGAGTATTCCCGTGACGACATCTTCTGAGAGTTGGGATTCGAACTCGGCAGACAGCGACACGGCTGATGGGGTCACGATCTACTTCAGCAGTGATGGCCGTAAAGGTACCCATAGAAACTGAACACCATCGTCTCATATAATCGTTTTTCGAGCGCCGCTTCCGGGTGTCAGCAGACCGCCTATGACAACTCGGGAGCGGCCCCGTTTGAATAACCCGACAGAGACACGATTCGTCGCCGAGAATCCGAATCCTAATCTCGGTCTATCTTCATTCACAGATTACAATAAACGTATCTGCGTTATCAGCGACGGAACCTTGAAGTTCTACGACGTGGAAGCGGTTAGTTCATTGTCATCGATTCAGCTGAAGGATGATCGCTCCTCTAATTGAGCAATACGTCCGGACGATTGCCTTTCCCTTTGACCCACGCGAAAGTCTAAAGAATCAACCTCTTGCAGTCGTCCAGTCCCTCTTTGTGTCTCTGCTGCGATGATATCACCCTCATGCTCGCCAGGCGAGATATCTAGTGAGTCTTCCCGGCCCCCTCCTACTTCAGCCTTCGACCTGACGATCGACGGACTCAGTCAGAAATATACACAATCGAACGAGCTGAGTTTCCATGGGATCGAGACCTATTCTCACACTCCGTGGATTTTTTCAGTCCTTCATCGAAAAGTATACCGACTCTGTTCCTGGTGGATATTAGAGGAGGCAGCACGACGCGCTCACTGGGATTCACATCGGCGATCGAGAGAGCAGAATTCCTACGGCGGGTCAATCAATGGTTCAATCCACAGAGTCTCAAACTTCAGGGTGCGCTGTGATCTGACTTTCTCCCGAATGGGGTTCTCCGAGAGCATTCGCTCGTCGGCATTCCTTGTAAATGAATTAATCCGTCGACTTCACAGGAGAAGTTTGGGCATCCGGTGTTCTCACCTGCAGATCGTCAGCATCCGGGGACTGGCAAAATGTCAAAGCTGTGTTGCATGGAAAGGTCAGTTTCATTCCATAGATTCCTCTCGATTCTCCATAACATTTCCGAGGGAGGTCATCTCTCAGACGAATGGAAATGTTCTCTAGGAATTCTCACCGTTCGTTCTCGGGAACGACAACGAGCCCGGTGTTCCCGGAATCGACCTGAGGAAAGCAATGCTCGTCGGTAAGGATCCGAGAGGACTGTCAGATAGAATCTTATATGATTCGGTTTTTTTTTCCGAATTCAGTGCGAGAGAATATCGTTCCGGTTTCAGACTGGACCTCTAGTGAAGAGGGGCAGGAGAAAACTTTCCATATCGTACTTCCCTGTCGCACGATCTACCTCCGTGGTCCATCGACAAACGAAACCAATGCCTGGTTCGAGCTTCTCTCGAAAACTCACAGCACATATCTGGATAAATCCCTCTTGAGGTGAGCTAGCTCCGTCGATTGTGTCTCCTCTGACGATTCTCTCCCTTGCGAACCTCTCTCGGAAGTTCCGTAATTGAGCTAGTCTGTCTGGCGATTCCAGCGAACAATATCTCAACAACGATAATGTTCCTCTGGCTATCGAGAAATGCGTGAACTTCGTGTCCGCCCACGGCTCTGACACGACTGGCGTCTATCGTCTGGCGGGATCCCATGGCAAGATCGAGCGTCTCGTCGATTCTCTCAAGAAAAGTGAGTCATGACTTTTTTTCTGCGAAGCAGCTCGGAACCAGATATTTAGTTCCCTCATCGATAGGAAAGCATGAATGATTTTCGAGTGAGGAAAGCCCAAGAATTCCTCGATTCCTTGGGAAGGGATCGTCGCTTAAAAATAATATTTCGCAGATGCTTGGGACGTGCATTTAGTGCCTGAAGCATATTCCACTCACGACGTCGCGAACGCACTGAAACGCTTCCTGAGAACTTTCGACGACTGTTTACTCACTCAACGACTCTACGATCAGTGGATGCAATGCTCAAGTACGTGGACTCCGGAGAAATAAAACTCCGGCGAGTGAATCGCCAACACCGTCAGTTTCATTCTTCACTGATCTCTCTCAATAACTCTTCAGAAATGGAAAGTCTCGACGAAAGATTGCCGCGCCTCAAAGACCTCATATCGGAGCTGCCCCTCGTAGAACACTCCACTCTGCGGTTCCTCTGCTCGCATCTCAAAGCTATCGCCGACAGATCGGATATAAACTGCATGACCGTCGCGAATCTGGCCGCGATCTTCGGACCAACGATCCTGTACAAGCAGTCATGCCAAGCTTACCTCGAAAGAGATCCGTCTCTGAGTCCGACCACGTCTATGGCCGAAACCAACGCCGGTATGGCCGTCGCAGCCGACCTCCTGGGCAACTTCTGTTTTCTGTTCGATGTCTCGCAGGAGGTTGTTGAGAAAGAACGAGAGATCCAGAAATTGATTGCGGAGATGCGAGAAGCGCGCGTGGCTCAACGACCCGCGGGGGACATCCTCGTTGGAGTTTACGTCTATAACAAGGAATGGGGTCGGTGCATAAATGTCAAACTCACTCCGACTATGACAGCGGCGGAGCTCTGCAAACTCGTCCGCAGTCAACTCAAGCTCGTCGATTCTGTCTCGAGTCTCGCTGTGTTCGAAGTCATCTGCGATTCGCAGCTCGAACGACCTCTTCATTTCACGGAGGTAGGATAGTCTTATCTATAATTGAAAGAAAACGCACCGAAACGTGCTCGGTGAATCCCGCCTGAAAGTCTCGCGGAGTTTAACCGACGACGGAGCTCGATACGCTCTTCGGAGAGCTATTCCTAATTACCTAATTCCGTCACCTTAATGTTTTTCCCCAACCAAACGCAGTCGGTGTTCGTGGCTGTTCTCCAATGGACCGGTTGGGACCCAGCTTTTGCAAAGGAGAACTACCTCCTTGTCAAGCGCAACTTCGTATACGAGGACGTCGTCAACTTCCTCAACATGAAGGAACCTCTTTCAAACTTCTCTGAGGTGAGCCGTCAGCCAAGAGAGACCTCTAATTCGAGATCCCGAGAAAAAGAAAACCCCGATCTTGGCGACAGAATAAATATCCGCGATGAGAATTTCTTCTTGTACAATCTTTCCCGAGAAGTTTCTCAGGAAGAGCTATTCATCACAACTGTCCTGTAACTTCAGTTCATTCTCTTTCCGGATGCAGGTGAAATTCGCCGAAGCTTCCACGAAGTCCTTCAAAAAGGTCTCCATGGAATTCGCCAAATCGGCAGTCCAACTCGTCAAGGACCGCAAGGAGAAAGACAGAGAAAAAACGGTTCTGAAAGTAAGTTGCCGCATCAAACGTCGACAGGACATGAAGCCACCGAGCGAGTTCCCCCTCCAGACCTCCTCGAGTACCCTGCTCAATATGGATTCTCTTGTCTTTCAGGAATGGCGCGTCGAGGACATCTCTGTGTACGTAGGCCGTGAGACGAATCGGAAAGCTCCCGCGGAACTCTGTCTCGCTTTCGTCCCGAGAAACGAAGACGTCCGCAAGTGAGTGCCACTCAGACCTTGTTATACCCGTCGGTTTCAGGTTGTGGACCAAGATGGTTGCGAGTTTGCGCTATGCATAATCTGTTCCTGGTTTCTAGGAGTAGGGATCGACCGTTCCTGTGTCACACACTTCTGCTACCGTCTCAAGTGTGTCGCACCTCATGGCTGGCGTCGGTGCTCTGCGCGCGTCACACTTCCTTAATACCGCCAGAAGAGGAGCTCCCCGACCTGCTCACCATGTAGGACTTCTAAATGTGTGGCGATGATGTTGAAGTCGGCCTCTGGTTCCTGAATTCCGAGAATGATACCGGAACAATATCCAGCTGGTCTCAGCGCCGCAATGCCGAAAATGTCTTTCGTGTGATTTTCTGTTCGACTCTGTCAGATCTGGTAGTTGCTCCTCGATTTCCTCATCTCTATCGACTCAACGTTCCGACCTCCTCGCATTCCATCAGAGAGATCGACCTTCAAGCGGATGAACGTGATCTTGTATATATGAATCGGGGAAGGGATGAATCGGGACGGGTCCCGATAATTTGTGTAAATAACTTGACATAGAGGTTAAAAGAGACATCTACTTGAAGCATGTAAAAGTCATTTGGATGAAACTGTTTTCATATAGGTACTTCACAAAGTATTCTATTTTAGGAATCGGTTATTGCTTTATGAGTTGTTTTATCGGAGAGGCACGAGACGACAACTTGAATAAATTGGTGATCCTCTCGAGCTGTAGAGCCGGAGACGCCCAAGCATGATAACGATCAAGATCAGCTTATCCTTCGTTCGTCATTTTTATTATTTTTCACCTCGATTTGCGATGACTGATAACGCACCTCCTTGTGTGGAAATATATCATTTTTACATTCCATTCGAGATGTTTCCCCTCATCGTCGAAGGCAATTGCGGGCGGGATGTGCGAGTCAAGGATGGCTTGACGTCTTGTGACAGAATCGACGAGCTCTCCTCACAACGATCCCGGGTCCTTCCCTTGCTTCTCGGCCATTTTCGGTTTCAGAGCAAACATCTTCACCTCGTAGAGACCCTTCGGGAAACTGAAGCATAGAAAAGTCGGTGGGGTCATTTCTCGAGCCGGGGAGACGAGGCTTATTCTATTTTTCTTTTATCTCTCCATCCACCATCGAGAACGCTCCATCCCAACTGAGTCCTTCCGATCTAATTCAAGACCCACGATCGACAAGATAGGGCAGTCCGCCCGGGCTCGAAGGGAAACCTTACCGGATTTGCTTGCGCTCCCCGACCAATCTCAGGTTGGCTTTCTTGAAGATGTCTAAGAACAGGGCCCTCGGTCTCGTTACCGAGGAGTCTTGGTTATCCATTTCCACCACAGTAGAGGATAGGTTATCTTTTATGCAGATCAAGCCTGAAATACGGGAGAACATTAGGCGACAGACTGACGAATAAATCATTCGCTACAACGAGTGTCAGGGCCGGAACTCTACTGGTTCAATAGGAGGTTCACTCGCGAACTAATCTTTCAATTCCAAAATTTAACTACGAAAGAGGCGATCCCGAGATCCAGAGCCATCCCCTACCATTGGTCTTCAGTCCGGTCGTGGCTCTCCGGAGGAATTCCACAAAATCTTTGTCGGTCAAATGACCTGACACCTGAGCACGGAGAAGAAAGAAGAGTTGAATGATTGATCTCCGCCTTGCTTAGATGCATATATGAAAGTAAACAAGATAGTTATTCGTGTCTTGGTGTTCGCTGGCGCTCGACAGCTGATATCCCGCCGCCGAAGCGCCCGCGAATTTCGGCATAGATATGCGAACACGAAGCGGAAATTCGGGAAAACCGACGCGGCTCACCCATTGCAGCCATATCACATCGTAGCGCTCACGCTCCGGACTGAAGGACTGCAGGCCTTCACAGATTTTACGCGCCACCTTCAAGAAACGCCGAGAAGAGTTCGTCAATCCACTGCGTTCTCGTGTGATTAATTGAGGAGATATGATGGGAGAGTTTCTTTTCCTCTCTTTTTCTAAAGAAACTCACCCGTTGCTTCTTCTCGCCGAGATAATCGTCAGCCGAGTCCAAGAATTTCTGATTTTGCTCCAGCATGTCAACCTGTGGAGTCGGAAAAGGAGCTCGATCGATCTTCTCCATTCAGGAGTCCCTAAAGTTCAATGTCGTCCAGGAGAGAACCCTCACCTCCTCGAAGAGATCCGTCAGCAGTAATTTGGAGACTCGACCGATACCGGCGCCACAATCAAGTGCTCGGGAGTGACCCGTGGGGCCGTTCTTCTTCTGCAACCAAGGCGATAAATCGGATGATTCATTAGATTGGGCCTCGAGGTTAGCAGACACGGGAGATCCATGACAATTCCGTAGTTAAGCTCACGTTGAGAAACTCCGAAAGGAACCGTTTGCTGGCTCCGACATCGATCTCTGAAATCTGTTCGAAACCGCCCAACATGCCCTGAACAGTGGGCTCGATTCCTTCCCAGTACTTGGCTCCATCCGTGTAGAATGACGCCCGATTCTGATTTGCGACGTAAGGCGCGGGGAATTCGTCTGTGGAAGAGGAGTCGAGGAAAATTTATATCTGTGGAGACTTTCGGGTCTAAATACGGAGTACCCGACATCGACGAGCCAACAACGTCGACATTCTCCGGAACATCCAGTGTCCGTACCTCGAGGGCCCTGAAGCTCTTCCGGAGCGGTCTCCATATCTCGGTTCGGCTCGGAATCCATCATATATAAACTCCGCTGTTCCCTCCGTGATCATGAGTTCATCTCATCAGTGAAGCACTCCTGAACTCATTGTGCCTGCGCGAGCGAAGAAGACTCGAGCGCCGGCGGACGGACCTCTTTCCCGCACCGCCTAGTCCTTGTCACTCTTGATCTCGCTGACGCTCGATCGCCTTTAGGATTTGTAGATCGCCTCACAAAGGATTCAATTCAATGAACATTCTTCTCGACGCCGAGCGGTCGGATCGAATCGAGCAAGAGAATTTCACTGACTGAGAGCAATCCGGTGTTCGTGGAGGCGATCGTCTGCTAACCGCAATAAACAAGCGAGCGGCTCAAAGAGCGTAGAGCGCTGGTTCTCCGCTCGGGACGGTTTTCGCGCGGGCTGCTGTAGCCGGCTCTGGCCTTATCGAACCTGAATCAATGATCGCACTCCGCATGATTGCGGGAAGAAATTATCGTACGCTAATACAAGGAGTTGGATGCGTTGAGGGGGCTGGCCGACGCTGACGCAGTACTTCGCCGCGAACCCCATGCAAGTCCGCAGATTGCTTTCACTTTGAGCAGACGGGACCGGCGGTACAGACCCGGAGAGATCACTGCTCCTGAACCCGACTGAATAGAATCCACCTAATTGCAATCCATCGAGTCGACGATTCCGCCTCATGATCCCGGAGCTCGTCATTGGCGATCAAGCGGGACGCCCCGGGCTCTCTTCCCTCCCGGAGAAAGATTTGGGGCGATACCGGCCGGCGTATCGTTGAACATCAAACCTGATTGAGTGCATGACTTATAATCCTTCTGGAACCGAAGACTAACGCAGGATGGAGGAGTCGGGAAGATTCACCCGGAAACAATCATTGTATATTATACCATATTCGTGATGCATTTAGTAGTGAAGTATTCTCCCTCTATATAAATATTGCTAGAGCACTTCTCCGCATTTGAATCAGAGACCCGATAGGTTCTCCCGTCATTGCGTTGAATCATCGTTGTCCTCGTCATTCTCCTCGGGACTGTTTTGATGCATCTGATCGGAGGCTCGTGTGTCACGGGTCTGTGGAGAAGGAAATTCAGACATATCGGAGTCTGGCTGAGACCGAGTACAAGCGATCAAGTCTGGAATCAATCTCCGCAGTGTTCGAAGAATCCTCGAAGAAGCTCGAGAGAAACATGAGAGAAAACTTACCGCTCTGTTTGAGACTTTACCGCCGGTATCCGTCGGGGTCGAATGGGGAGCTTGACCAATGGGCTTGACGCCGACCGAAGCGGACTTCTTCGATGTCGGCTGAGCAGTTTTTTTTCTCATCTTTGCGAATTGCTCATCGGTGACGCACTGCAGTCACGGCATCGAACGAATCGAAATGAGCCTCAGGGGTGAAGCCCTCATTCTGGTCATTCAAGGGACAGACGGATAAGACCCTACCTCCGATAGGTCAATACCCAAGAGTTCTTCTACTTCTCTCAAGCTTATGGAGTGATCTCTGCACGAAACGCCATCGCAAGGAGCCTTTCCGGCCTTGAACAATTTCGGATGTACACAGCAGGGCTTGCCATGGGGCACGGCGCTAGAGGCCCGTGCGCTAGCGTCGAATTTCACGCGTCGCTCTTGACACGTCGAGGGGCTCTTTGCCGGCGCGTCCGGACTGACAGGGGTGACCTTCTGCGTTCGAGGAAAAAAAAGCTTCCGTCAAGAAGCTTTTTTAATTAGGAAAGGAGCGTACATATCTAATTGGAGACATCTGCTAAGCGTATGCGAATTTCGAACCGTGGCTTCTCGCCGTGGGGGCCAGAACCTCAGGAGCTTCAGACGCTCTGCCAGGGCTCGGACCTTATCTTCGCGCCCCAACGGCTTTCGGGCCTCGTCATCCCCATGGGCGACTTCGGTTACGGGCTTAGAAGTTTTCGCGAGGGATTTTGGATCACCTGGTATCGAGCAACAGCAGTCCGCTTTCATTTTGCCTTTGTTCTCGTTATCTATGGTGTCGGGGAACCAGGAGACTCGCGGCGAATGTGCCTGCAGATCTTATCACGAATTATTCAGATTCTCTAGTTCGGCATCGGAGACGCTCGTCTCCGGTTACCTTCCGTGTCTCGAGCTATCTTAGCCGGAGTCGATCAGGGGATATTCAGGATCGAGTATCTTCCGGGGGCCTCACCTTGAGAGTTTCTTTTTTCTCTCGAATGTCGCTTCGTGTTGGGAGCGCCGGCGCCTTGAGAATCAGTCGTAGTGTGGGATGGAGGCTCATCTTCGGTCGCGCCGCTTGCGCATCCTTCGGTATGCCGACGAACTTCACAGCTTTCTGTCTCGGTTTCATCTTGATGATAACCGTTTCAGGGGAGCGGGCTTCGGTCGGCCACAAAAGACCAAAAAATCGTAGACTGAGCAGTCTGAGCAGTTCACACTCGCCCAAAAAAGTTCGTTGTTTTCGTAAAAACGAGCTCACACGTCCGGAAGGTGTACATTTACTCGAAGCTTCTCCAAATCGATAGTTTCCTTGGAGGGACGGGCTCGGAGCGCTACAACCATGGCGAAAAATTCAAGCCAGTGCGCAACGCGAGCCTCGGCCTTCTTGCGCCAAGAACTGATGGTGGATTTCACAATCATCAATGATCCTAGCGAGAGTCTTCGTCAAGCCTAGATGCGCTCCGATCTTATCTATCGACCTTTTCCTCTTCTGCTGAGGGAATCCATTCGGAAATCGTCCGGAAGCATCGATACATTGAGCAGTGTTTTGAGAGACGACATCATCTCCACCTTTTCCGTAAGGCTGCCATGCAATTTCACGTTCGGAAACGGGCGCATCCCTAGCTGCAGAGGACACGCAGACCTCGCGCTGACTGTGCTTTGGTCAGCGCTTGGCGGGAGTGTTTGAGGCTCCCCCAGTCCAGAATCCTCCCCTTTTGGAACTCATCGAGCTGCATCATGAGTTGTTTGATAACTTTCTGGTCGCATTTGTCGCCTGATCCACGCCCAAGTCTCGTTCTCGGCCTAGAAGATGCAACGGGAATGTTAATATCTTACATCTACGGCATTCCGAGAATAAACACTGCGTTTTTCTCCGTGATGTATCTTGGTACGACAAAGAATACCGCTCCACAGAAAGTTGATTTGGATTGTCATAATAGTCGGAGCTCAAATTCTATCGAAGGACAGATAATACGAAGCGGATAACTTACATTAT